ACAAGTCAGTTTGGGAGGTTCCTCGATATTCCACGATCAACTCCAGGTGTTTTTATTACAAAGGTTTCAGGAATACCAGCAACTCCAGCACAAAGCGTCAGACCACGTAAAGTCACAGAGTGCGGTCGTCACCAACGCTCTGCTGACTCAGTAACTGCAGGGCTCCAAACCTCCTCTGACGTTAACATCAGCACAGAAGCTGAAGGCTGGGAGCTTCACGGCCTCCATGGCTGAGCAGTGTAATGTGGAGGTGTCCCAGTACTTCTATATATAGTATATATAGTTTTGGTAAGCGCAATGTGACCTATGGCCAGCAGGGGGCAATGCCGTAGGTTGGAAAAAAGAAAAAGATTTCTTTAACAGCTAGCTAGGTGATGTCATGTTAGCAAAATACTTATTTTACACCACCTGTCGAAGGCACTCTGAAATGAGCTGGGTAGAAGAAGTATGAACCTTATTAAAAAACTTTTAAAGCACTTTATAATCAGATCTAACTGATTATGTACATGAAGTTTGAATAAATTTCCATGCGGCTGCAGAAATAACTGCCCAGACATGTTGCCAAGATGGCTGTCAAGTGGCAGGTCTTGCCTCTGGAACAAATTGCCTGCATTTTCCAGTGATCTGCAGTATATAAATCAGTAGATATAACGTATGCAAAATAGAAATACATCAGAAATGCTTACATGCAAATGGAATGGAACCAATATTTCCATTAAGTTGGTAATGATATGCATCTTTCTGTAAAGATTTAGCTCATACTCAAAGCTGCTAACGGCGGGAAAAAGCTGCAAGCGCATCGTGAAGTCGTGGTGGTGAATGATTCAGCAAAACAATGGCTGTTTTTACACATCCAGTGGTGGGTTGTTACCAACGCTGACTTTCACTCAACTTTTGCTCCATTTTTGGCCTCCCCCTGACCAACTGCTTCTTTTGGTAAATGTTTTTGATCGGAAGGCTCACAGAAATGCAAACGGCTGCATAATTTACTGCATTTTTCTGTATTTTCATTTTTCAAAGATCACAGCTACAGCTCTCGGGTCTGCAGGTATGTGAGAGGAACTGTAGCCTCGGGTCGTGTTTAAAGGCCCTTCATTCACAGCATGAATGCTCTCTGAAGCTTTAACACAAGTCTTTACCTGTCTGCGGGAGGCTGTCTGTGTTTGTGTGAGCCTGCTTTACTCACTCAAATCTCATCACACAGCCACAACATAGAGCAGGAACACCACTTCTTTCACTTTTGGGGGGGAGGGAGCAGGCAAGTCAGCATGATGCAAATGATTAAATTACAGATTTGTAACGTGGCTTAAAGCTGGGGGGGAAAGGGCTCAGAGAAGTTAATATTAAGTCAATGCAATGTCCTCAGAAAGGATGGAAACAAAAGTCAGGCTCATTAGGCGCCTGTGGTGTCTGATTCCCGTCCTGTAAGTGAGCTGGATTTCTCCCTGCAAATGCCGACGCTCCCCCTTCCTTCTCCACACACACAAATATGCAGATTTGACACACAAACACCTCTCAGTCCCACTTTCTCCATCTCACTCGCTCGCCTCTTGGCCCACAGTGTTCCCCGAGAAGTCACACAGCTGGGAGACACCCTTCAAGTTACATAACTGCAGGCCTCATCTTACTGAGGCCAGACGCAGCACTCATGTTTCTCTCTTTTTTCTACTTTAGTCTGCTGCTCTTTTCTCTGCACTGCAACGCCGTTGTTTGTGACTAACACCTTCTGTGGGCACATAAAAGCAGAAGCTTGTGTTTAAGCAAATAACGTGGTAGAACTGAAGCCGATATAATGTTGACTGCGCGTGAATAAATTCTTTAAATATCCCCACTTTGCATGGATGTCTTTTATAAATCAGATACCTGACCAATATAATAACAGCAGCTATAACGAGTTCATGGTCCGACTCCAGGTTTTATCATCTACGGGACATGAAGCAGCAGCTCACTTTAACACACTTTATAAATATTTAAAGGATACTGTTAGGTAGAGAGCCAGCTCCAAAGAATCCAGCATTAGTAAAGCACTAAAACTAAAGTT